CGTAAAAGACAAAGATCGCAGTGGAAGGCCAAAAAATTGCGAGGATGCAGAATTGGAGGAAGATTCGTCTCAAACACAAAAGGAACTTGCACTTACTTTAGAAGTCACTCAGCAGGCAGTCTCACATCGTTTAAAATCGTTAGGAATGATTCATAAACAAGGACATTGGGTGCCATATGAATTGAAGCCAAGAAATATCGTACGGTGTTTTGTCACGTGTGAACTACTGCTTTAACGGCAGAAAAGAAAAGGTTTTTTGCACCGTATCGTGACTGGCGATGAAAAATGGATACACTATGATAATCCAAAGCGTAGAAAATTATGGGGTAAGCCTGGCCATGCATCAACATCGTCCGCAAAACCAAATATCCATGATTCGAAGCTTCTTCTTTGTATTTGGTGGGATCAGCAGGGTGTAATTTATTAAGAGCTACTCAAACCGAATGAGACTATCACGGGGGATCCCTATCGACATAAATTAATGCGTTTAAGTCAAGCCCTAAAAGAAAAACGGCCGCTTTACGAGAAGAGACACGACAAAGTGATTTTGTTACATGAGAACGACCGGCCTCATGTTGCAAAACCAGTGAAAATCTACCTGGAAATACTTCGATGGGAAGTTCTACCCCACCTGCCGTATTCACCTGACATAGCCCCTTCCGATTTTCACCTATTCCGTTCGATAGCACATGGCTTAGCTGACCAGCGTTTTCATTCTTACGAAGAAACTAAAAAATGGGTCGATTCTTGGATAGCCTCAAAAGACATGTCGTTTTTCCAACGCGGAATTCATATACTGTCAGAAAGATGGGAGAAAGTGGTCTCTAGTGATGGGCAATACTTTCAATAAAACGTTTTTGTTTCTTATATTTTAAAGAAAGTTTTTATTTTGTAAAAAACAGCGAGAACTTATTCGAGGTTCTAATATGTTGAATACAAACTATACGAAACTTTAAATATTCTGTATATAATAATATTTTATTTTATTCTTCTTATACTTTAATTTAATAATAAGAACAAATGTTTATTGTTATCGTTACCAATGACACAAATAATGTTTTTCATTACGAATTTTGATGTATTTCAAATAATCGTTATTAAATTTAAGACTCGAGATATAAATTAAATAAAAAAAAATCATTTATACTTTTCTCAAGTAATTTTTTAAGGGAAATATGTGTATGTTTTTTTTTTTGTTTTTAAATTGTTATCGAATAAATCATATAAACTTGGTTTAATTTATTATTGACAAATTAATATGCTATAATTTATAATATGTCCTTACACTTGTTGTAAATAATGTTTGTAAATATATCGTTGTTCTAGATTCGATACTTGAGAGTCGAGATATTTAAATATTTTTCTTAATTCGAATTTCGTATTATTTTCAATTGAATTTCAACCGAACAATCAAACTTTATTCGTTCTTGTCAGTTAGTGTGTTTATTTGACAGACAAGCATTACTTACAATGTGCAAATTAGATTTTATTCAATTACAATTAACAAAAAAGCATTTTAAACTAAGTGTTTTATCTTACGCTATCTGATCATATATATATATATATACATATATATCGAATTTTTTAAATTTTGTTTGCTTTTTTCAATTTTCTCGTACTCTTTTAAATAATACATTAACAAAGAAAAAACACGTAATAAATTTGAGAAAGTTATCTTTTATAAATCTACAGTTAATGCTGTGACAAAAAGTAATTATAATTAATAATATTCTGCTAAGTGTTTTTATTTATTATTATTTAAATAAATTTTATCGCGTTTTAGGTTTGTTTCATATGATATATAGATCTATGAAAATAAATACATATATATTTATGTATGTATAAATTGAATGTATATATATATGCATATATATTCAATCAAATACATATAACATATATATATATATATATATATTTATTATACAATGTTTATTGTTCTCTTTAAAGGTTAAAAAAAAAACGAGTGTAATAAACAAAAATATATATAAATATATTATAATTGCATACTATTTTTAAGCAAGGTAATTTTCTAAAATTATCCGCGATTTCTTTTCTTTTTTTTTTATAATTTGAAAAATATTTCATTGTATTTTTAATATATTAATTTATTTTTTCTGTAAATACAGATGAGCGACGAAGAACTTGTTCAGTGTCCTTATAATCCCAATCACCAGGTTCCTAGATCTCAAATAGACGAGCATAAAAAAATATGTAAATTTTTGATGGATCCTAATCAAGAAAAACAAATTACAATTTCATCCTACGACGAGGTAATATATTACATTTGTTTGTTAAAATTACGTTCTTATCAAGTGATATAATACAAATATTAATTGATATTGATTTAAAACACTAGCCCAGACCCTCAACATCTTACCAGGAGTCACCTCAGGAGGGAAGTTCACTTCAGGAGGAGAGTTCTCATCAGGGGGGAAGTCAATTGGCAACTCGTCCAATTTCTGGAAGTCCTTCTACTCCAGAACGGAGATCATCAGACGAACCATCAGATTTACAGAAACCATCACCAAATAGATTACAAACGGTATGGAAATAATTGTTCAAATGAAATAAGACATTTATTTATTGAAATTGATTTAATTTCAGTCAACACCTTACTCAAAGCCGTTTCAAAGTAGTGACACTTCAGATGATACAGATATAGATTTATGTGGATCAGAAGGTTCTTCGGACAATCAGTCGAAATCACAGATGACAAATATACGTAAAAAAAAATATACAAAAGTAGTAAATAAAAAAAGTGAGGTAAATGTAATCATTTATCATTTGAATAGTTTATAATTTTGTTTCTTTCTTTTCCCTTATAAAAATCATTTCTTTTGATATAATAGATGCAAAAGAAACAAAAAGTAGACAGTAGTACTGATGACTCTTCTTCATCAAGCGATGATTCGGTATTATCACCTGAAGATACTATGTCAGATAACAACGGAAGGTCTCTATCTTCTATGGGTTTAACATATTGTACAAATGTGTCTTCTACTTCACAAGAAACAGATAGTTCACAACAAGAAGACAGTTCACAAAAAGCAGCTATTTTACAACAGCCAAAACTGATATTGGGAAGGAAGGATAAAAAAATGGATGATGAAAGTTCGGTTGATCTATCGTCACGTTTTTCTCAAGAACTGTCTGATCCATTAGAATTTGAAATGGAAGAACATTCCTTACCTGGAAATGTTCAACAAAAATACTCAAAACCAGGTTGTTCTTATGCTGGAACAACAAATGATTCGGTTGATCTACAACGGCTAAGTAGGAAAAGAAAAACGAGAGCTGAAGAAAAAGATACAGATGAATTAACAAATATTGTATTGTCACATTATTTTGAACTAATTTATCCTTCATTAAAAGTTCCAGTAGTAGAATCTTCTCCGTTTGGAGAGCTTTCAACATCAGAATCAATTAGTTCATCTACTGAAACAACAGATGATTCGGATGATTCACAACGACTAAGTAAAAAAAGTAAAATGAAACCTAAAGAAATGGTTACAGAAGAAAAAACAGAGGAAGAAACGTCATATCATTCGACAGATCAGTCTACTTCATTAGAAGTTTATATGAAAGAATCTTCTCTTTCTGAAAAGGATTCACAAGAACAATCACCACCATCTTGTATTCCTGGTCAGCGTACATATTATTCGGAAGTTTCACAACAGCTAGGTAGAAAAAGGAAAATGGAACATGAAGAAATAGATACAGAAGAAATAATGAATGTTAAAGTGTCACATATTTCAACAGAAGTGACTACTCAATCAGAAGTTGGAGTGGCAGGACCTTCTTCGTCTGTTCCAAAAGAACAATCAAAACCAGTTGGTTCTCCTAATGGGAAAACACAAGAATCAGTTGGTTCACAACGTCAAAGTAGATCTAGGAAAAATAAATATGAAGAACTAATGGAGATGGATCCGGTTAGATCACGACACCGAAGTAAGCCTTTTAAAAAAGAATATGCAAGAATGTATACAGAAGAAAAAAAGGAGGCTAAAAGGTCAGATGTTTCGACAGAAGAGACGATTCCATTAGAAGTTCAAATAGAAGAATCTTCTTCGTCTGGAGATGTTTCAGATATACCAGTTACTCATCATGGTGAAACAATATATGATACTTCAGATAATTCATCAAGTGATACTGATATCTAATAACAGGCAGATATTTGACAACAAGTATAATATAAATTAGATGTTCAATAGGAGGAACATAAGTTATGGAAAAAGTCATATGAAAGGACAGATATCAAAATAGGTAATTTACAAGATGCAGGTAGATCACTACAATCAGATAGTTTATCAGAAGCTGATAGTTCACAAAAAGAGGTATAAAAATTAGAAAACTTTTTGATTATTCGTGAACTGCAGATGAAGATTAAGATAAAAAAAAAAAAAAAAAAAAAAAAAGACAATAGAAATCATATTATTGTCCAGTACACTTAAATGTCTTCTATGTAAATTAAACACTTAAAACGTTAATGTTTTATGTAAATTGTATTATATATTGTGTATATATATTTTTATATAAATGTATTTAAAATCGTCATTAATTATATAGATATGGTTTATACATTTATAACAATTACATTATAAATTATAATAATAATAATGTAATAATTGTAATATATTATTAAATATTAATATATTTTGATGAAATAATTAATGTACGATCATCTGCAAATATAAAAACTGTCTTTTATTAAAAAGAACAAATTATGGAAACAACTTTAAAGGAGATATATATGGTGGCATATAAATATATATATAGAAATATATAATATAAATTATATAAAACTTAACGAACACAAAAATTATATTAGACAAATATAGATTTAATATGAATAAATATGACACATCATAATATTAAAATATAATATGATATCAATGATTAACAATTTTCATGGATTAAATATAATTTTGTATTTGTTCCATTTCATATTTTAACAATGGAAAAAAAACTTTTATGCTATTATTAAGAAAATACGACCGACATTTTTTACTTCTTTGATTTTTAAATTTACTCGATGGTCTTGCTTTTATATTCTTATAAAAATTCATTATTGTAAAAAAATACGTTTATTATTTGTGTATACTTATAATACTATTTTAAATACAATTTTTATTTGAATTTTTTTAATTATCGTCTTTCTTCCTGAGTTACTATCTTCTTTCATACAATTTATGTTAATGATTTAAAATTTTAACTTATATATAAAATATTTATTCTATATATTAATTAAATATATTAAATATATATATTATTATCATTGGACAAAGCCGATAATTATATGAATTTATTTATGTTGAATATAAACTACGCGAAACTTTAAATATCGTAATAATATTTTAATTTTTTCTTCCTATACTTTAATTTAATAATAAAAACAAATGTTTATTATTGTCGTTAACAATGTCACGGATATTAATTTTAATTACGAATCTCGATGTATTTCAAA